GAGTTCCGATTTTTCTCAATTACCCTAAAGATCCTGTTATGCGAAACAAGGTCAGGCCCAAGAGAAATTTGCTATCTTTTTTTACTGCCCTCTAGTGGTGCAATGGGTAAGACATCTGGCTGCTAACCAGGTCAGCAGTTCAAACCCACCAGCTGCTCCATGGGAGGTACCTAAAGCACTTGACTGCTAACCAGAAGGCTGGCAGTTCAAATCCACTAGTCACTCCTCGGAAGGAAGGTTGGGCAATCTACTTCGATAGAGATACCACCTCGGAAACCCAAGGAGGGGTCGCTGTGAGTCAATTCTGACTCCACAGCACATAACAACAACAAAGACTGACAGGCTTGGAAACCCAATGGGGGTCACTGTGACTTGGAATCGACTTGATGGCAATGTGCGTGTGTAGTAAAATAGAACTTTTAAAAAGGCATCCATGTCATGAGACTAAAAACAGCACTGTAGGGAAGATGATTTAATCTGAAGTTCTCGCACTGAAGTCAGCTTGGTTAGTATCGCTCATCTGCCCAATTAATTTTTATAAATTTCCAATCAGAAGGTTCATGCTTTGGGCCTTAGCTCTAGCGTATCCTTGCCAAACTGTTAAATAAAAACAAAACAACAAACAAACAAACAAACAAATTCCATGTCATATGCTTTCATGAACACTTTTTAATGTGAAAGTAGGCAGTGTGCTTTAAGTAAACTTGAATATGAGTGTTTGGATTTACAAATGAACTAGGAGGTTTTTATTAACTTGAAAAAAAAATGCTTCAACATAATCCTTTAACAAGCTTTTCTGGTACACCTTGTTTTTTAAACAGTCAATTTATGGCCAGCTTTTTAGAACACAACTCGTTACATTAATTCCTTCACTGTCACATATAGAAGAGCTTACTGTCTGAGGCAGGTCCACCTCCTTGCAAAGAATCTGCTGGTCAAATGTGTAAACAAGCAACAGGACACAAAAACAAAGCAGACTTTCCAATGGCTTTTTTTTCTCTTCTGCTAACAAAATGATACTGAAGCTATTTGGGTATTTCTTGCCCTAAGGTATGAGCACAGTTTTGTTAGGTACAAAGTGAGACAACAGGGGAACTCTCTTAATGAACAAATAACTTTTTAGAGAGACGGTCTATATCACATTGTTATTACAACACAGAGGAGCTGAACTTTCTTTTGTACAGATTTTGATGGAGGGAAGCTCTAAAAAGAAATCAAGCATATAGAGGTAGTTGAATAGCAATATGGGAGGAAGGGGAAAAACATTATCTTAATTCCCCTTCATTATAGTGCAAGAGTAAAACGGCTGCTTAACAGAGTAACAAACACATACACATTCGCCACTGTTTAAATGGCCTTACCTAACAGTTTAATCCTAGTATTACTGAGAACTGTGGAAAATGATGAAACTAGTTTATCTAAAATAAGCTTATGATGCCACATCCATCTATGTTCTCTGCTTTTACTTTGTTGTTTACTGTTGTTGCTTTGACAATAACAGTTGATTGACTTTTAAGATGATGCATAAGCTACAGCGTTGCTTTGTAAACTTCAGTTAATCACGTTTTCGAAAACCGCTACTGGGTCATGGAGAAAAAGCTTTCAAATGACAACCAGGAACAGAGATTACAGGCACTTCTGACACTCAACTTGGCGTGCTTGGAAACACCCATTTGGAAGTGAGTATTTCTTCACTTATCCTCTAGATGTGCGTAACCCAGACTATTTTAATAGGTGAACAGTGCAATATATTGGAGCGTCTTTCGAAGGTGAATCGAATGGGTACATTTTACATGGCTCTTTTTCCTTCCTTTTTGCTAAACTCAGGAAGGGGCACAAATTACAACCCATGTAGTTGGCTACTTTTCAGAACTGTCTCCAATCTTACATCAAAACCTCCTTCCTCAGGCCCAAGAACGTGCTGAAAACCTACCCTTTCCCATTATTTGGGCCACCTTCCCTTTGCATCTTGGTTGCACACCTCTATTATGAGTCTGCCCTAGTGAACAGAAATGGATGCGAAGTCAACGTGTTGGGAACTCAAGGAATGAGCCCCTGAATAAAACTTCCATCTTGAAATCAGAGTTAAGGTGGGGAAACAGCCCCCAATGGATTCCGGCCCATCAACAGTACTATCTGTCTGTTGCCAGTGAGACCTCTGGGTGCTGTGAACTAGCCTCGGAGCTCCAGCGCTCCGGTGGCCAGACACTGGGGACTATCAGAGCCCAGGGAAGCTCCACGGCAGAGCCAGAAGTGCCACAAACACAGTACTCGACTAGCCCGTCCCTGCAGCACTGGGCTAGAAGTAATCGGTCCTCAGAAAAACCCAACTGTTGAAACAGTCAATTCCCTAAGTCAGGAACACATCCTTTGTTTCTCCTCCCAAGTTGCCTATAAAATAAAGTTTTGCTTTTCAGTTTCCACATTTTGCTGGTTATTAGCTAGCAGCAGTATATGGTACAAAGCAGAAAGGCACAGTATCTGCTGGGTACCTTGTTTATAGATAGATACAGAAGACAATCTACTAGAAAAGACTGAGTCAGTCATGATAAACAGGAAGACTAACCAAAGAAATGGCACACTCCAACAAGGGAGGAGTCTTGTCCTTCTAGCCTATATTTCACTTTGTGTTTCTTCAAGCTGAGCTGCAAAAGTAATTTACAAGTGGTGAGACTGTTCGCGTCCAATTCAAGTACATCCAAGGAAAGCCAAGGCTTAGTAAATGCCTTGCATCCTGCCTCATACCACCACCGAGACAAAGCCTTGCTCTGAAACCACTGGAACATGTATCCAGGCTACTGAGAGAGTAAGTAAAGGGTGATTCTGGCTGGCCGAGATCTACATTTGCTAACGTTGAGTACTCACTTATCAAGGTGAGTCACTCTCTGATGTGGACTTTTATCAAGAAACCAAATCTCCCTTTCTACTTGTTGTTGTTGTTGTTATGTGCCGTCGAGTCATCCCTGACTCATAGCGACCCCTTCCTTGGGTTTCCGAGGCAGTATCACTACAG